CGAAGACGAACGAAGCTTTTACGGGTTTGGAACGACATAGGGGTAAGTGATTAATGACAACATTTTCATTTTGGGCTGGAGTATCCCTTTAAACTCAAATCTGAAGGAACATAATTAATGTCCGTAGCTGTTGCGTGTTGTTACCGTGATGAAAGGCGTCTCTGGTTTCAGCATGCAGGTGCGGATGGTGACGTTGTTGTAGTCGAAACTGACCATTGTGAAGCCGATGGCCTCAGGAACGGCCAAAACTACAGCCAGCAGCCAGATACACACGATCTCTACAGCCGTGGACACAGGGATCCCCACACCCTGAACACGACTCCACGACGCGACCGCACGATACCTGCGCACACACACATACTTGCATTTGTGGTTTACAGGGACTCTCCATAGGCGTAATGGTTATATCTCTAATGCAACTTTACATGCTTGAGTTGTCAGACACTTTCTTGGGAGCCACCGAGTGAACAAGGAACGCTCTCACAGCTTTCACAAGCATTTTAAAAATGTTATATAAATGTTAGTTCAAAATCTTTTTAAAGTAATGTTTATGGAACGTTCTTATAACTATTAATATTTGATAATAGAGAAAACTTTATTATAACTTTGAACGTCCTCATGATGTTATTTGTACTTGATGAAAGTTCTCAATCTTAAGAGAAAACGTTAGAATATTAAAAATAAACATTATATTTGGGGTGAAAATAAAGTTAGTAGAATATTGTAAGAAACGTTTTTGTAACCTTTAAATAACGTTTTAATCACGATAAGAAAACTAGACATTTTAGCGTTTTAGAAACATTTCAAAACAATGTTCCCACAACGTTTTTATAAACTAAATTTGTTTTCTAAATTTGGTTCTTTCAAAGTTATCAAACGTTCTTCCCATAATGTTAACCGAACGTTCATTCAAAGTTATCTGGTATTTAATAATGTTCTCAAAATGTTACCACAAAAACTAAAAAACATTAATACATCTCATAAATGTAATACATTTATACATCGCTCGTGGAACGTTTTTTAATTTAAATGTTTTAGTTTGACGTTCATCTAACAGTTTCCTAATGTTAATACTTGTTTCAGGACATTCAAAAATAACAGTCCCATAATGTTTGCAAATTATAAAATCGAATGTTCCCTTAAAGGGGTCCTATTATGCTTTTTCACTTTTTGAAATTTAGTCAGTGTGTAGTGTGTATGTTTGGGCATAAAAAAGATCTTCAAACTTACAAATCTGCATGCAATCACGATTCTCGAAAGTGAAAGTGAAACTAAAAAGCAATCGTGCATTCAAAAGCAGTTTGAATGCCAGGCACCGTCTAAGCTGTTCGCCAATCACAACGCACTGGGGACAGCTAACCAATCACAACACATTTCGTTTTTCGGAAGGCGGGCCTTCATCAAACCCGGAACTAATCGAGCCGTTTGTGCCAGGCTGGGGAGAAAGGAATTGTAATAATGTAAATTATGTGAAAAATAATGCGTTTTTCGAACCACCAAGCATGAGAGCATGTTCTAGTACACCCCCAAAACAAAATCTAGACGTTGTAAAAGAGCATAATAGAACCCCTTTAACGTTTGTATAACTAAGAAAAAAAAATGCTTTTAATGTTTTCATGGAACATTCAGAAATAATCTTTATGGAACATTAGTAAACCATTCTTACAACGTTTTTTACTTAAAGCTTTTGCTTGAAGATTTTAAGTTGATTTTATTTTCTCGTGTGTGTGTGTGTGTGTGTGTGTGTGTGTGAGTGTGTGAGTGT